CAAATATTCACTTTCCAGTCTCCTAATCATCCAATCTCACCACTGGTTCCAGTCTTGTCTTGAGTGTAGGTGATCAGTCTTGACATAAAAGTTTGTTTGTTTGAGGCATTGCAAGTACTCATGTCATGGATGGATGCTGGCAGGAAGTTTGGTATTAGGAATGCCTAGTTCTTTCTTACCTTTGGTGAAAGGTACAGTTTGGCAGCAAGATGGGTGTCCTTTCCTGATGTAGATGGCAATGACTCTTGGTTCCTCCAGTACTGCATCTCTTGGATAAGGATGTGAACTATTCCTTCTAGTCAGTATTTTCTATTAATGAGTTTCCATAGTTTTCTCTTTAACATGCTAAAAATGAAGTTTAGTTGTGATGCATTTTGTAGAAGACAGAATGTTTCAGTTTCTTTCTAGTGGAGCTTTCCACTATGAAGGTACTATTTTGGTTCATCATAATAATTTTTTTTTTCTCCCTGAAGTGCTTGACTTAGTGGAAAAGCTAAAGGAGGACAAATGTATTATCTTGAGGAATAAGTCTTAAGTCACAGTTAAGATATTAATAGTTTTGTATGCTTTCTTTGAACTTGCAATTTTTGTTACAAAGATACAGCTGTTGCAGGTTTTGGCTTTGTAACCTCTTGTCTGCAGATGCAACAGTCTGAATGCATCAAAGCACTCAAGCGCAGCCTTAAGTAAAGGGTGTGAGCGTATTCATTATGTTTGTCTAGACTGTACTTTGAAGGACGTCTCTACACTGTCTGCAAAAACACTTTCACTGCACATAAGGATGGCAAACCCTTAAAAATAACCCCAGAGCACACATGTCCAAACACTCTCCTGGTGTTAATATGTGGCAAGATGTGTCCAGACAGTCTGTTTGCTGTAGATGTACAGCATATTGTTAAGGCTCTGATGACAATGGGCTGCCAAAGTACCTTTGGGCATACAGTGGACTCAGCAGTTTCTGAGACTACACTCCTAAAAGCTGTGCAAACAAATTTGATTACAGTACTGAGTTCACCTAGGAAGGCTGCTTCATTAAAAGTAGATTTCAGAGCTTTAAATGTAGACACGATGCTCAAGGAGTGAAGAGTGCTGTGGCCTTTAAGAAGTTCTTTGTTTTTTTGCATTTAGTAAAGATAAAAAGATGGGTCATTTTTATGATAACAGCCCTGACACCATTAAGAAGACTCACATTGGTTTTCAGTAGGAATTTGGCACTTTCTTCGTGTAAGTACTGTTAAAAATGTCCTATACTGGTTTTGCTGTTACTGCCTGTGCTGTAAGAGTTCCTTAAGGCCAAAGTGGAGCAGGGGACCCTCTGTGAAGCCCTGAGAGCTGGCTCAGGTGATGGCTGAGCCCAGCACAGGGTGGAATGTGGGGCTCGCAAGTGGAAACCTGGCTTCTTAGTATGTGCCAAGGGTGGCAGCAGGCAACAGCACTTGGGTCCTTGGAGTCAAAGTTTATAAAGATAGATTGTATAAATTATGTTAGGCAGAGAGGGTATAATTGCTGTGCTGTGAGTGCACAGAACCATTTCACAAGAGTTGGAAACCCAGCGAGGGATAGTTCTGCGACACTGCTGATGCACTGGTCGTGCTTCAGACAGTAGTGTAGGGGTGTGCCTCTTCCTTGGCAGCCTACTGTTGGCTGTCACTTGCAAGCCTCGTGTCACTGGGTCTGTGGTCTCTGATAATAACTGCCTGCTAGTCTGTGTCTATGGCATGGCCATGTCACAAATTGTGCTCATCAGAGAAAAGAAAAAGTTATGTTCTGCTGCTGAAACAGAGGTTACAGTGAATATGAAGAAAAATCCACCCACTGTGTAAACATAATTAGTTTTTTTTTTTTTTCAGTTTGGTAATGCCCCGTCAGATTTATTACTTTTCCAGTCAGAAGCACAGCTCACTTTACAGCTGATCTCCATTTCTTGCTGTTTTCTGGCAAGAGATTCCTTTTACTTAGAATTCATGTGATTCATGGGTTACAGGCTCATCTGTTGAAGTACAGTATGTCTGCAGAGGCAGTTGTGACTGCCACCGTGCTTGTAACCTAATCTACATAAATCCCAGAAGAGTAACTGATTTGAAAGAAATTCCTACCTGCTGTTTGTGTAAGGATGACCATCTGTCTAGCAAATCTCCATGTGGAAATCAGGTACATCTGAGAAGAGCAAGGCAACCTTCTGACACCTGTTTCTCCAGCAGATGTAGTTGTTTATTCTGCTTTTTTATTTTTCAGCAGGTGCTTTTGAGATTTGCTTTTGGATCTACTTTCAGCAGGCTTTGAATACTAATTTAAGCACTGTGTACAACACAGGATCATTCTGACCAAATCACCCTTTCTCTTTTTTGGCACCAATTTTTTGGGGTCCTACTTTCACCTTAAGAACTGCTTCTGAATTTGAGCACCTTGGTTCAGTCACAGAGACTGATAAATACCCATCTTCTTTAGTTCCAGAAAATGCTTTCAGAATTTCTGAGAAACACTGAAACAAACTGGCTTTTAAGTTCAAGTGGCACCTTCAGTTTGAGGATCATTCCACATATATTCATGATCCTCCATGTAAATGATTTTCAAGGTGCAGGAAAAGATAGTAGATGTGTCAGAGTGGTAGTTTTTAAGGATAATCTTTCTGTCTGCTGGAAATTTTATATCTTTAAAAAGATACAGAGCATTCTGAGGCCACATTAGAATACAAATGCCGTTGGCACTCTGCTCTGAATCTGTGTTTGTATATGCCAGTTTGCCTATTGAGATCTTCATATTCACAAATTATCCTCAGTTTCTGTGTGACTCTCAGCTCTGCTGAGATTTCTGCAGCTCTAAGCGTGTGCTCTTTTGTGCATGGTATGCAGCATGGAGCACCTGATTTCTTTGCTGGAGAACGAGCTGTGATAATCCAAATAAACACAACCTTCTGTAGATTAATTGTATCTCCTGTAACTAAAGGTTAAGGTGTCATCCGGTGATTTATTCTTCCCAAATGGATTTGTAGGATCACTATGATACAAACATAATTTACTACCTTTTGCACATCATAGCTGTGTCCTCAGAATGGTGTTTGGGGATTTACAATACTGAACAGGGTGAATTATGTGTCAAGTTATCAACCATCCTGTTTGAGGTTTAGTTAGTGCTGACAGAAATTGTGCATTTAGCAGAATGAGGCTTCTGCAGCAATCTTTTGGTAGGATTGTTTTCTTTCAAAGCTGCTGTTAATCAAAAGTTTCTGGAGAAAAGCTGCCAAACAGACCATTGATTGCATTCACTTATGCCCTGGCCAGCCAGATGTGAATAGTGTGTGTTGTGGTTGTCATCCTCCCTGTAAATTATTGTCAAGGTGCTGCCTCCTTGATGGCAAATCCAGCAAGGCAAGAGGTACCTTGCTGTAAAGAGTCCCTGGGTTAGGCATGCCTGACAGGATGTGAAAGGATCCTTGGGGAGAAGTAAGTGATTCATACTTTGTTATTCCCACAGGTCCCACATTCACAGAACTGAAGAGGTTCTGTGGATATGCAGGCAGTTGCACTTTTTCAAAGTTTATTCCTAGCTGGAAACATTGAATGAAAGATTTCCTTCCTGCAGTTTCTGCTTTCCTTTTTTGACAGTTCTTGATTGGCCGGAGCAGTTTATAATTCTTTTCTTGGCTATTTTGTTGGTGTGTGCTGTATGACCCTATGCTTCAAGTGGTGCTTTGCAGATTACATTGAGGCTGCTGGGTGCTTGTATAGGACCTCCTCTCTTGTCTCCAGAGGAGGCAAAATAGGTCTGTTAGTACAAAGCACCATGTCAGACCACTTGATTGCCTCCTTTTGAGCCTTTGATCCCAGTGGCACAGACCTGATGTTGCCTTCATTGCATCCACATAGGAGGAGGAAGAGAGGAGGAAGAGGAGGAGGTGTAGCTGGAAAGGATGTCCTTGTTTGTTACCTGTATGGTCAAACAGGAGCTGCTGCTGCAGTGAGGAGCCTGGTTGTGATCTCAGTGACTGCCTATGCTGTGTCACCTGTTGAATTAAGCTTCAAATGAAAGCCATTCATTTAGGAAATCTGTATGACTAGGAGGAGGTTCTTCACTGAGAAGGTTCTGACATAAGCCATGAAAATAAAAGGGGGCATGCATCAACTGTTTACATCTCTTTCCTCCTTCCTCAATGGTGAAACTCTAGGAAACATGCGAGCTGGCTTATTGCATTGTTTGTGCATATGATCAACCAGACAAAGACAAAAGGAGGACAACACAAGGAATTTGGCAATTATATTTCAGGACAGAGTGGCTGCCCTCCTGAAACTTTCAAACCCTCTGGCATATTCTCTCGACTTCAAAATTGAAAATGCATATCAGAAGCTTTTCCTAGTGAGTTATCTGCCCCTTGTGATTTTCAGCAAGTAAAAAAGAAAAGCCATTGCTTCAGTGTAGATATGCTATCCTTACATTTAAGTTCCCAGAAGGTCTCTGACTATGTGACAAGAATTACTGTCATGGATATTGCATAACGGTTTGTGCATAATGTTTAATGCAGTCTCAGTTTTATGAAATATGGATAATATTGGAGACATTCGGAGTAGTAGCTTAGATTTATTTACACTTTCTTTTTAAGGTGGAGACGAGGGACATTTTTAGTGCTCTTCAATGACATTGTAAGAGTTGAGATTGTTACTATTAAAAATGAATAAAATCCATAGAAGTGGAAAAAAGAAAAATACATTGTATAGATGGATTATGGGCAAATTGTAAATGTTTAAAGCATTTCTGGAGGTTAGAAATGCTGTGCTTTTATTTGAATAACAAAGCTATCCCAGCACCTTTACGGTGTCCAAGGTGTGTTGCTCCTTGGTGAGGAAGGTTGGAAGTCAACTGAGGGGATGCAGTTTTGAATAATCTTTCTTCTTGTTAAAGGTTTATTATTAAGATGAAGGCATAAAAAAAAAAAGTATTTGATGCATATGCTATGTATGTTAAGAATCAGATCAAATTGTATGTATTTGTTTTGTGACACACAGGACAGCTTTCCAGCTCGGTTTGGAGGAATACATTTCGTCAATCAACCATGGTATATCCATGCCCTCTACACAGTTATCCGGCCCTTTCTAAAGGAGAAGACACGAAAAAGGGTATTCTTCTTTTTAATTGTCCATTTCCTGGCAGTTGTCATCAGCAGATGCATCATACTCTAATAAAGTAGATTAACATGAGGTATCAGCTTGCTATTGGTGGAAAATATTTAAATATATCTGTGTTGTAAAGGGTACCTTCAGCTGCTTTAGAAACTTTTACAACATTATCCTTTGAGGACACAGTCAAGCCATGCGCTTAAATGTATTTTAAAATGTAAGCATATGCTTGCTCCTGGGAGTTATATAAAAAAATACTGCCAACATTACAGTTTCTATTAAGATTGTATTCAATTCAGTTCTGTTTAATTTCTGTTAAAATTATTTGTGTCTTCTTTTTAAAACAGAGTTAGTGACTTTCCTAGTGTGCTTTCCTTGACATTAGCATGAGCTAAAATACCCAGCTGGCATCCAGTAGTATCAGTTTGTGAAAACTAATTTGAATGAAAACCAATAAAAGGGAATTTGTGTGCATGCATCTGTGCATAAGCATGAGCAGCCTCTGAGATGTTGCTGAATTTGTACCATTTGCATCAGTGCAATTAAATTAGAGCTTGGTGGTGATAGCGTATAGAATGATATTATTTCTGTAACAGGAAATTTGTCATCCAGGAAAACACAATCAACATCGTGTAAAACGGCGCTACAAAGAGCATGATGATTTTTTTTTTAATGGAATCAGATCCCTAAGCAGCTCTGTATTTTTTCTTCTCAAACACACCCTGCAAGGCCACAGTGATCCTTGGTGTTGAGCTTTTTTTTACTGACAGATTATGCTTGAGAGGCCTCTGGTATTTACAGATTTTGAACTATAGATCACAAAGCCTTTTATGTAATATCTGTTATAAATATGCAAATGAAGCCCCATTTTGCAGGATTCAGTTGCACTCTGTTGACTGCAGCTTCTGCAAAGAACCTTGCAGTGCCAGATATGTCTGAGGCCTTTTCAACTCAAGTGCTGCATATGCATAACTAGGGACTAAAGTGCAGCTCATAGGAGGGTTGCAGCATTAAAATAAGTGACAAGGCATTGAACATGGAGGCTTATCAGTTAGCATCTAAATTTTTATTTAGACACCTGAATCAATGGCATATATTTTCAGAAATGCTGACTTTTTACAACTGTTTTTTGTCAATACCAAATTCCTATAAAAAGTAGTCAGGTGGTTAAATATTGATTTACAGTTCTAAACTTAGTGTCAAAATATGAAAGTTATGACCAGCACATAAAATTTAAAAACAGCTTTAAAAAAAATTATTAGATGCAGAACAAATGATTGGAAAAAAAAAACAACCTCAAACCTAAGAGAATTCTCTTTAGATTTTTTTTAGCAGACTTATTATTTGTCTGTTGTTTTTATCCTGAATTATTACATATTTTTTTAATTTGTCATGTAGATTTGCAAGTGATAGTTACACTCAGATAAATGCAGTACTAGGCATATGTAAAACAACTGCTGTGAAGTGAAACACTTAGTTGTAAAGGCACCATAAAGCAAATAACTTTCGCCATTAATAAATGTTCTTTCACAAAAGGATAAATTCCTTTCTGAGATGGAAGAAAATCACTGGTTTTGCATGGTCATACTAACTTTCCTGTGTCCACAGCTGACTGGAATGTGGTCTGAAGTGAGCAATAAAAGACAAGCATATATTTGGTCTTTGTCTTTCTGCCTTTTGAATGTAACTCTTATAAATCATGCTAGGGGTATAGCTGCCCAGAGGAGTCCCTGCAAGGTGAAGTGGAACATGAAAGATCTTTGAGGGGAAACACTAAAGTTAAACGTAAATATAAATACAAGTATTCATATCACACCATACTAATATACAGATATATAAGTGTAAAGTATACATGAATATCAGTCTACCAAAACATTGATGGAAAATATCAAATAGTCCATCAGCTATTCCCTCAATGTTGTCACAGTGTTTTACTGCTGTAACTTACTTACTTACTTAATGTATTGTCAAGTAGAAATGGCACTTACTTGTAGGATGAGATTGAGGAAAATATTTCCAGCACTCTTATTGTTACACTGCATAATTTATCTTATTTATAGAACTCATGGCTGCATGCTGAAAGTCAAGATATATTCCTTGTTGCATATGGTGATTATTATTTTTATTAATTTATTATAATCTTAATTTTTTCACTTATTTATTTACTTATTTTTATTAATTTGTTATAATTTTAATTTATTCACTTAATTCACAGAATTAGAGAGAGCAATTGACAAGAGATTAACAAAGCAGTTTGTCTATCCAATATTCTGTCCATCTAGCTACCATACACCGGTTCTTACCCTCCCTAAGTTCCTGTACTTGTAAACATTTTAAGTTATTTATGCTTTAATCATTGTGGAGATTTATGAACATGGTATGACCATGCTCAAGGCAGAGGTGATGTGTGCCCTCCTCTGCACCTCTGTTAGCCCAACACAACCAGAATATTTCAATTGCACAGTATCCTCCTAATAATGATGATGTCATTTGGGCTTTGATGTTTTTTGGTGATACTCCTGTGTTTTTACCTGCATGCATACATACAGATATTCCTGCATGGTAACAACCTCAACAGCCTGCATCAGCTCATACACCCTGAGATCCTGCCTTCAGAGTTTGGAGGAATGTTGCCACCCTATGACATGGGCACATGGGCAAGAACACTGCTTGACCACGAATACGATGATGACAGTGAGTGCAACGCGGACTCCTACAACACTCCTGCAAAGGATATAGAAAAGGACCTCTCTCCCAAATCCATGAAAAGGTGAGTTAAAGGTACTGTTGTCTTCTAGGAATGCCATAAGGTTAACATTTACCTTCTTCCTCCTTTATGAAGCTGTAGGCAGTTCAGTCTATCGTATAGGAAGACAATTGGGTTTTTTTCCCCTTTCTTAAAAAGATTAGTGTTGATGAAGCATCATGGCTGTGATTATTACACGTGTGAGTTGTGAACTCAGTGCAGCTGATTATTTCCGTGGTGCCATATAGGTTGTATACACAGCACTGTCTTTGGAATAAGCTGCTATCTCACCTCAGCCTACAGTACTTATTAGAGAAACAGTGCTAGCTGGTGTGAGCCTCCGTGCAGTGGGTAAATTTGGGCCAATTATCTTTCTGGGTGGTGATGTTAGCTCTTATCTTCCTCTATCTCATAGCCCACTGCCTGGTATCCACCAGCCTGTAGGTGCCAAGATGTTTACGGCATCTGAATCATCAGTCACAATGACTGCATGCCTGAGAAAATATGAGGAGAACCAGGACCGAAATCAGTGTCAATTGTTATACTCAAACTTTCTGGCATTCTGATATTCTTCTCTTTGAGAAGGTACAGTGTAATTGCTTGCTGCATTTTACCATTCAAAGTAAAGTATAGGAAGAGCTTAGTTACCTTTCCAGTAGCTATGGAAGCAGTGAGGTCATTAACTTGGAAGGGATGAATCTGATCCAAGCTTGCCAGGGCAGTAGGAGAGAAAAGGGTAAAGATTACAACTGTGATAGAAAAGGTAGCAGAAAGGGCAGCAGAAAGGGCAGCAAAAGTCAGAGTGCAGCTTATAATGGACAGACCTAGCAATGGATCAGAAAAGAACAAACAAGGCAGAAACCAATATATAAAGTCATTAAAATGAAGTTAGATATCCTAGGCTGAGAACCCAGTTTCAGGAGACAGCATGTGATGCAGAAGGGAAACAGATCAAACAGGATAAAATATTTTCAGATTTCTCAGCCAGGACGTTGATTTTGGCTGGAAAATATTGCCTAGACTGGGAAGGACAGTGTGGTTTAAAAGGGAGATATTTTTGTGGAAACAGAGGAGAAAACATAAGATTGCTATAGGAAATTAAAAAAAAAAAAAAGGAAAAAAACCCAACAAATTTTAAGGATTTTGTGTTGAAAAAACCTCCACTTTATTGAGAGTGGGAAATAGCAAGAAACTGGACAGGAATGATCTAGGATAAGAAGTTTAAAAAGATTCTGAAAATGTATGACAGGGCTGCTGGAATGGCTGCAAACCTGGTCTCAAAATTCCCAGTGAAGGAGCTTTGGTCATAAATTCCCAGAGCCTCCAAAATCCCTAATGCCCAGATATATATGAAGCTAGAAATGTGTAACTAACACAATTAATTGAGAAAATGGGACAGAGAAAAAGAGCCAAGGAGGGGAAAGGTGAGCAATGCACTTACATATGATTTGCACATAATACAAGAATTACGAAACAATAGGGAAGCTGTCTTAGACATAAGGATGGAATTAAGGAACTGAAGTGCAGAAGTCTTTCTGCTGCAAAACGATGTTGTGAGAGTACATAACTTTATCCAAGAGTGCAACAAAATAAAATATGAGAAGGCCTGTGACAAGTCCTTTTGGAGCAGCCTGTTTGGAGCAGAGTTTTCCAGATTGTTCTGGGCAAGCATATTATTAAGTGGAAAAGCAGTGAGTTGTCCAGATTCTTCATTCTTTGTCAAATAATTTTTATTCTCATTTAACTTGTTCTTGAAAACTCTTTCCATATAATATTACACTTCAGTGTAAGCTTCAAATTGATATTCTTTCAGTCTGGGTGAACTAACTCAGTCTGAGACCTAGTGCAGAAAATAAACATGTTGAAATATGTACCTATATAATATTATTCTTCACCTTAAATGCATTCCTTCTCATTTAGCATGCCTCCAGAATCTGCTGGAATCCTTGCTCCTTGCTGCTGGACATAAAAGTACTACTTACTGTGCTACTACTAAAACTGACAGAAAGTCCCAAGACTTCAGTGTACTAGGCACGCAGACTCTGTTAAAACACAAATAGAAAAGTTATGATAAAACAGATACTCTATTTCTTTAAAAATTAATTTTGACTTGTATTCAGAAACTGATAGGTTATTTCTCTTGGTTTACACCCACAGTCAGTATATGTTAGTGCATACAATTTTTAACATATAAAAACCATGGCTAAGGTGATAAAAAGTGCTTAGCTTAGAACAAATTTCACAAGCATCTAGCAGATCTCCAACAATTACCCTGTTTAATTTGGCTTACCATTTTAAAATTAGTTTACTTCCTGAAAGAATGTCTTTCTAAACCCAGACTGCTACTGAGAGTTAATTTCTTTCTTACCCCCCATTTCTTTTTGCCATTCCAGTGGTGTTAACTACTGCCATTCCTCCAGATCTCCTTGAATTTTGGGTGAATTGGATGACCTGACCTTGAAAGGAAGGTTGACTGGGGGGAGGATGATGGAGATAAGGAGGAGTTAATGCCACCTGTAGCACAGACCTCTGGGGAGAACTTGTTTATGTCATCTGGCAACACTGCAGCTGTGTCAGCAGTCAGGTTTAGCCTGTGGCTGTGTTCACCACTGGCTGTCATCCTGAGGCACCCAGCTGGAGACCTGCATCCTCCTCTCACCTAACCCAGGAGGGCAGATGTCTGTGTTGATGACTTTGCAGAAGAGCTGTGGTTTGGTTCCTCACCTCTGCAACGGGACGTTTTAGTATACCTCTGTCCTACTGTGTTTTCTCAGAATGTATTCAGTAATGTCTGTAAATTTATCTGGGAGATGTAGGCAGAAGAGAAGGAGCTATAGACTTAAACAAATGTTTTTCCTTTCACATACCTTCATTTGTGAATTGCTGCTGAATGGGATGAAGCATGACAGTAAATTTCTGTTTAAAATTGAGTGCAAACTTTCTCCTTCTTCTTCAAGGCATTTGGGCATCTGAGCTTACAAACAAATCAGGATTTGTGCAGTCCGATTTTCACACCTGCCTTGGCATTGGGGGCTTTAGATGCCCTGGGAATTTATGGCCAAAGCTTCCTCCCTGGGAACTGGAGGCCCAGTTTGCAGCCATTCCAGCTCCCCTTCAGTTTTCCCCAGATGAGAACTGGGAACCTTGTCTGCTCAGTCACTGGCAGCCAAGGAAAAGGCTCAATTTTAGCACTTGCATCCAGTTGGCAAACCTTTGAAGTTAATTTGCTTCCACAGCAATTTTTACCATGATGAACTGGATTTTCCATGAGTGCAGCTTCCCACCAGCAAATTTTCAATCCGCTTTGCATTGGCACAGTACCTTGTGAAGATTTAAAAAAAACCATTTTTAATTCAGTGGTTTAGTTTTCTGCCTGAGGAACTTAGTAGTGTTCAGGATGAGTATCATTGTGCACTCTTAATTAAAAAAAGTTTAAATTATGCTTATCACAAGAGAAATGATTATATTTTAAAAGCTAATGTTCTTGATTTTAGTATGAGAATGGGATAAATATTAGAAAATATCCTTGTGTCTAAAGTTTTCACCCAAGCTTTTAAGTCAGATGTTTTTTCTTGTGTTTTTGTAAGTTTTCTTTCGATTTTTTTGAGAAGGACCTCATCAGCCTCATTCATTGATTTCACTGGATGATGCCAGTTTATAAGAGGGGGGGATTGACTCCATATGCTTATTTTAGGAAAGGTTAGAATTTGTAAAGGTTTTTCTCTGCCCTGTAGCCCTCTAAATGGGCAAATCTTTAGAAATGCTGCAGGTACAGTGTGCTTCCACTGATCAATAATAAATGCCTGCATTGTAGAGATGTACACATGCTCTTTAGTCATCTCAAATCTTTACAAAAAGAAAGAGAAGTAGGCATCTCCTGCATGAGATTTTTCTCACTAAAGGAAACATCTAACCAGGGTTGCATTTACTGTAGCCCGGAAGTGGCTGCTTTTTGATGGGCTGAGCCATGGCTGATGTGAGGCCCCATCTTAACACTCCTGGCTTTGTTTTCAATGGTACATTTTGATTTTGCTGGAGATTCAGTTTTCCTCTTTTCCTGTCACATATGGCTGTTGCAGGGCACTGGTTTCATGTTATGCTTCTGGGCAGAATCAGAGAATCTAGGGAAATTTTGAAATCATCACTGAATTTGCCCTGCCTTGTTCAGTTGAGCTGAAAAGTGAGTTTGACATATTTGTGTGCTGCTTCAGAAATCTTGCTAACCGTGGCACCATTCCTAGCTTTGACATAGGATCTTGCACTGTTGAATTAAGATGCTATTCAGAAAAGGAACAACCTGTGCTTCCAGCTAACACATCCCGCTAATTGCAGTGTGTGATTAGCCAGCTGGGTGGCTGAATTGTACCTTCTTTGCCAGCCCACTGCTGTATAACCTTCTGGAGAGACAGTCAGTGCTTAAGTCACTACTGAGGACAGCTTTGTTTGTGCTTGTTGTGGAGGATAATCCCTGCTTCACGATTTCACTGAAGAGAGGATCCACTTTATTCCACCTTTTGCTCCCATATTTACAGATCAGCACTGAGCCCTTTAAAGCCCTGTCATCCCTCTGTGAGGATATTTCCCTATGATTTGCAATGATCACATGCTTGGGTGATGCTGTACCCTTATTTTTAAACCCTGACAGAAATTAAAATAAACAAAAGAAAGCTGAGGTCAACCCTCATTTTTCTTGATCGAGAAATGTCTAATAAACATGTTGTCTCTTTGCAGGTCTCAATCAGTTGTGGATCCTGGGGTGCTGAAACGCATGGATAAGAATGAGGAAGAAAACATGCAGCCCTTGCTTTCACTTGACTAGCAGTTTTTGAGCATTGGACATGAACTGAGGTGGAAGGCACTGCCTCTCAGCAACAAGAAAATCATTGGGAAGGAGTGTAACAGCTGGAATCCTATTTACTCATGTTAATGTAGCATATTGGCAGCAGGTGTTACTATTCTGCCTGAATTCTGGAAGCCCTTTGGTGAAAAAGAAGTGGAGACAAAAAAAATTAAATAAAAAAGCAAAGGAATCAATAATTTATTCTGTAAGTGCCAACTTGTTTGTAAATACAATATAATCCTCCAATTTTACTTTGTAAGTTATGGTAAACAAGTGCTATGGAAATGAGTGACTATTAAATATGTCAGCGAAGTGCACCATAAAAAAGAGAAGAAAACGTGTGTGTTCTCACATGCACACACATACACAGAGAGAAACATACTGAACAAAGAAAAATATCAAAGGCAGTAAAGTGTTGCCCTTCCCATGGGAAGCCAACTAGTACATTGACTGCTGGATTTCTTCTGCAGTGATCATATAGTGTGCTAAGATAAAGAGGGAATATGGAGAGGGAATATGGCATTGAGAGATGCTGTAATCGGTTCAATGTTTCCTAACTGTGGGAATTGGTTTCTTAAATAACACTGGGGTCTAGGATTGTTATTTAGGATAAACAATGTGCATTGTGAGAAAGATCACAGGTGAACTGGAGCCAACTCTTGGATAGCTTTGTAATTTGACTGTATGGGTCTCTGAGGTTTCTTCCCTAACTTTTCATTTACACAAGTAACCTGGCTTGGTACCATAATCTGGGTGTTGTAATGTGGGACACATTGGAGTTACTTCTCTTGCATTTTGGGTGCACATCAAGAATTTTTCCAGAACTCTGTTCTCCCTTGGACTGAGACATTAGTCCTCTAACTACAGTGGAATAACCAGTATCTGAAAGTAAAGCCTGGCAGCAGAGATTAGTCACTGAATCCTGTGCACTGGGAGACTGGATACATATATATATATATATATATTTTTACCAATCTCTGACAAGCATACAAGATGACATTGTTAGATAAGTATATTTCATTGAAGGTTTGTACAAGAAATCATACCTATTCAATGTACTTAGATATATTATAGATTGTATATTGATACACTGTCATTACTAATATAGTAAAACTTTCCATAGATCAACAGCATCACACTCCAAGCAAAGACTAATATGAATAAATTTTAGTCAAACATCTCAGCCTATAGTTTGGGACACCTTTGTTTTGGTTGTAGTGTAACTGTATATACTGAACATGTGCCATAATAGAGAAATACATTTTACCTCAAAAGGGCAACAGGTTTCACTAGGGATTGGGTCAATCAGCTGAAAGATAGGGGCTGTGTCATCTCTGTGTGCTGGCTGATGTGCATGCAGCCTGTGGTGTGCTGAGGTGAGAATGTAATTTCTTATTAGGACTTAAATTGACAGTCAGAGTGTCAAGACACACAGGGTGCCCAGCAAGACATCTGAATAATTAAAGATGTTGTAAGAGCATGTTCAGGCAGTGCAGGCATTAGTTATGAAAACACTGACCACACTGGAGGTGATAGTTCACAGCAACTCTGGCTCCCGAGTGCTAGGGTTTAAAACATTTCTTCCATCACTCCAGTGATAGGTGAAGTTTCCAAGTTATTGGTTGTAGGTGACCTCTTCTCATCCAGGATGATTACAGCTGTAAGATTTGGTAGGCTGAGATGGGTTAAGAGCAGAGAGTGAAAACTTGAAAGTCTGTCGTCTCGAGTTTAGCTGTAACTCCTGTGGTAGCAGCTTCAGCGTTTCTCAGGGCTGAGACGACCCTGACCCTTCCAGCATCACCCTTGATTAGCCCAGGCAACTCACAGGTAAAGCTTTCCTTCTTCGCAGGTCATTAGCAGCACTGATAAATAGTGTATGCCCTAATATGCCATCAGCTTGCAGGAACTTGTCTGAACAACTCATTGCCTTTCTGCTTTCCTAATTCTGTTTTCATGGTACGTGTTAGGAAATACAGAGGAAAGATATAGAGCCTGAACTTCTTATCAGTCAGTTCTACAAGTTGTCAGTAGTAAAAACTGTCCTAATACTGCTTCTGTGGTTTGAGAGACTTGAAAAAATGATCAGTTCTTACATACCCTTTTATTCAGTTCTATTTTTCACATTCCTTGTAAAATCATGCTGTGTAGGTGAGATGTGTCTCCAGTATTCGCATAAGTGCCATTTTTGAATGTGTGTTATATATTTCCGCACTTTTGATTAGTAGAATAGTGTATTGCCACAGTTATGATTTAAAAATTCTTATCAGATAAAGCTAAAACATCAGCAGAAATTTTCTCCTTATAAGGGCTTCAGGATTTAGTCAGTACTCCACATTTATACAAGCTGTGACACAGTGGTGATCAAAATCTTCATGGATCCTTTTAAATACATGGGCCAGACTGGTGTAAGACAGCAGAATGCTGATTTCAGAGTACACCACCTGTCTAATCACAAAATGCAAATCTGTTCCACTGTATGAAGCTTAAAATTTGTTTTGAAGCTTATAAATTTTTGTTTGAATATCCTTTATTTGTGCACTTAACTGTAATTTATGTAATATTTTCTGATGTCTGATTTCAATTTTAAGGTAATGAGTATGATTATATTTTTTTCCAGAAAGTGAAAGTAGGATATATTATAATTTTGTGTAACTGGGACCTCATCTTTCAGCAAGAACAAAATTGCTTTTTCAATAAGATCCTCTCTCTTGAAGAGTTGGGCTATAGGTCATCTTGGCTGCAGCTTTTATTTCACTAAATCAAATTCTGACAGTGGTAATTGCAGCTGTGACATTGAAAAAGAATATGGAAATGGGTAAAAGAAATAAATATATTTTACCTGTTCTCACTATTCTTTGAAGGCATTTCTCTTTTACATATCAGGGTACATAAAGGGTTCCTCCTTTATTGTAGAAAATCTTTATAGGTAGTTCAATTTTTATTAGATGAATTTGGACTGAAAACTTTTTCCAATCTTTATTATCATAGGAATTACTGTCTAATTTTTATAGCAGAATTGAAGTGCTAAAACAGAATGCACATGCTTGGGAGGAACTCCTCTTAATTTCTTACCTTTCTTGTGTATTGGGTAGAATAAAACCTTGTTGTAATTATGCATGCTGATATGCATATAAAAATATCCTGCAATATAAGGAACTTAGTGGAGAAACTCGATATACCTGTCCAACTACATTAAAAAAAAGTGTAAAAATTGATAGTTTTGGGCCTTTGATAAGATCTAAAAATATCCTCTTACATGATGACTTTTCCAAGACACAAATGTTTAAAAATATATTGAAAAATTATGGAAACTTCCATGACCAAAACCTGCTTGTAATCAGAGACGTCAGTAGACTCTTGGCTTTACAGAGACAGGTAATCAGACCCACTAAGCTCCAAAAAATACACAGACTCCCTCCCAATAGTTATTAGTTGTAAAATAGTTTGAGATGTCTTTACAGAAATGTAAATTTACTGTATAGCATATTTAAGAAGATGTTTTGCACTCTACAAACATGCTATGCCTAGTCACAAACTGAAAACAGTCTTAAAGGAAAGAGGAGTAAAAGGGACCTCAAGAGGTCACTGATAAGTGGAGAAGCAGATTCACTTTAATGTCGCTCTCAAATGTTTTAGCTCAGTACCTTGCATGGAATGCTCTTTGTATTACTTAATCACAGTCACAGCCAAGGCTAAGCACATTACCTGACAAAATTGTAACCTGACAGTATTTTGTTCATGCCTTTTATTATTTTTCTGTTCTGTTCGGGAAATTAAAGTTTGTCAAGCATCATAAGAACTACCATTTAGCATTACTTGGAAAACACTTTGCAATAAGCTTTGGTCATATCCTTGTTATTATATTGTTTCTGTTATGATTATTGATGTATGTATTTGTCCAGTTTTTTTTGATAAATTTGTTTGAAAGAGCATGCAAGAGAGAAAAAACCAAAATCAATCAGGCTAAAGGATTTTATATATAATATTAAAATGGGATTGTAGGGAGAGTTTGGATTTTATAATCTTAAATTGCGTCTGGGGAATGTGCTGCTAAGCTATTAGCAGTGTTGGGTTCCAAGACAAATTTGGAAGATAAATATCAATGTGAAAGACATCAGCAAAGGTCACAAAGCATTGCACTGAAGAAAAGACTTAATCACATTGCTGGTTCAGGTGCCTCTAAAGAAAGGTATTTTGCAAGTAGCCTGTGAGTGTGTACTTCTGGTGGTGAGAATAGTTCTTTTGTCCACAAACTTCAAAATACTCTGTGAAATTGAGAAAATAATAGTCATCCCATTTCTCAGGTAGTAAAACAGGAGCACAGCAAGTTAGAGACATATCTCAATGGAAGACATTTTTCCGTGTGGAAAAGATGACACTGATCACTCAGTCTGATTTTAACAGGAGAGAAAATATTGCGTCCCTGTTTTGTGAAGAAGGTGTTATTGTTGATTCACTCATGCCTAGCTTCTTTAGAACACTTTACCAAGAGACCTTTGCAAACCAGGGGTGATCTGCTTTCCTGTGGAGTTAAATCTGAGTGTACATGTAACCATTTCTGCTGTGGAAATGGCAAAAAGGGTGTATGTCCCCCAAATGAAATGCCTTTCTTTCCTGTCTGATTGTTGGGGAAAAAGGTAGTTTAATCCGAAGACTCCCCCAAAATGAAATTTGCCACATAAAGAATTCTGTAAGGGACAAAAAAATATACTTATCTTCCATCAACTATACAAGGAACATCAACATTTTGTTTAGAGGCATGCTCAAGTGAACCCAAATGAAAGTGCAAGCAAGGTAGATAGAATCCCACGTCCTGCATTGCCTTGTAACTTTGAATGATCCTGTGTCAACATCTGTATTTAGCAGATCACCTTGGATGTTCCTTTCAGTCTGCATTTCAGCTTTCAGTTGTGTAGGAATTTTTTTCCTATTGGCTTTTGAGATCTTAATTTGTTTCCTTCATAAGCGTCTGTTGGCACAAAGCAGCATTGACCCCTGTTGGATTGCATAATTTGAGAAGTGGTTTTGTTAAAAAAAACCAAAAAACAACTTGTGCAGTGATGGGCAGTGGTGAAGTTGAAACATGGCTGAGAAGTTCCCACTCTTTTGTCACTCCTCCTCCAGTGTCTTGTGTGTGTAAACTGCTTTGATTGATAGAAGACATGTTAAGACTTGCAGGAAGAATTTAAAACTAGAGAAAAAAGAAGTTTCTGCAATGAATAGAAAATATGAATTGATCAACTATTGCTGTGGAATCCAAAGCTGGGGGGGAAGCATTGCACATGGGGGAAGTAGAGAGACCTCCAAAGGAAGATGCTGATAATTCCTTATGGTACATGTTTTGTTAAAATGAGGCCAAAGTATTTTGTCTGCAGAGACTGTGGTCAGCCAGATGTGTTCTCTCTGAAGCAGTGGCTCACAGGAAGTCCTCTCAAATAAAAGTATGACAAAGCTTCCTTTTGCAAAGAATTCACTTCCAGAGAACTGACATATCTGTCAATTTGCAGTAGACAAATGGCAAGAGTTAATTACGATTTTTATTTGATATGGAAATGTGGCTGTGATTCCTTAAAGAGGCTGTCGCATCATCAGCAACAAACAGCAGTGCCTAAAGGCAGGCATCTCAATTCAGGTCCCTTGGTTAATAAAAATTTAAGAGTAGAAAAAAAATCAAGGGGAGAGATAATAGAAGATGATAAAACACAATAATTAAAAAATCAAAACAGAGAGAAGCAAGCTTGCAGTGGAAAGCTGTATGAATGGCAAAAATGATGTGATAGAATTTGCATTAATGCTTCCAAGAAATTAATCAGTAGCCTATTATGAGTCCCCCACCTCTGCATAATGAGCAGAGTTTCCATTTTTCATGTGGTCTACCATGTATGGCCATGATGGAGTTTCCCAAATCTTTAGGAAAAAAGTTACAATGTAAATTGGTAGGTGCTGTAGCTGAGTTTGTGAACATAATTTAAGGGGTCAGAACAAGACAGCAGAGCCTCACCTGTAGATGGGTCCCAGGAATATGAGAAGTGATGTGTCCTGCCTGGGTGAAGTCATCATGGAAGGAGATAATGAAAGGAGCCCTATGGCTGTAAGGAAAGGTGGCAGGCCTAGGGAGAAAGCAGCATTAGGTATTTGGAGTGAACTGGTTAACCATTTCAATTATGAGGGAGGTTTTCACCTGCTCAGTAATATTAGACAGGTCTTACAAACCCCATGACGCATCTGTCATCAGGAAGGAGAGATAACATGTTTCTCACTTTCCCACACAAACTCAGTTTTGATATATTTAAACCTGATGCATATGCTAAACCTGAAGTGCCTCTGGTGCTGCTGTTTCCACAGTAGCTTGCAGGATGTGGGTATCATGTGGCATGCAGGAGCTGGAAGGGTAGAGCCCCCTAACTTGTCCTTAGGAAGAGAAGCGAGGAATGTAGTCTGCAAAAACCCTGCTGCAGAGAAAATTTTTGGGAGAATTCAACACTTGTTCAAGTTACAGCCTGCCTTGCCCTGACATCAGTATCAGCACCTACTCTGTGGAAAGCTGTGAGTGGAAGTGGTGTGGGAATCTCCCCTGCCAACCTCGGTGTCTTGTGCTAATTATGCAGCCTTCGAGCTGTAGCTGGTGATCTGTGTCCTGTGTCTTTAAGCAGTGCTGCTGGTAGTGTTAATTGTAGCCATTAGTCACTCAGAGCAGAGATGATTTAAAGGAAACTGACAACTTTAAGCATTACACTTAATGCCTAAGAATATTAAATTGGTGATTGTTACAAGTAATGCCTAAGATTATGATAACTTAAAGACTTCCAGGGTTTGGCTGCATTGTATCCTTGATGGGACTTAGTGTATAATCACTTTCCTTTAAGTATGGTTGTTCCTGAGGTTCACATGCATCTTTGATGCAGCAATGGTAAAAGGAGTTAAACAGTAGAAAATATCATTCTAAAGCTATGAATATATTCAGAGGGGCACATTTAGATTACCTGACAATATTAAGAAAAATTGTTTTGCAGTTTACTAGTGTTCAACTTGTGAATAACGGCTCTTTTAAATAATTTGCTTCTCTATCTCTTTCACCCTATGGATTGCTGTGTGAAATGTGTTCTGCAAAACATTTCCAGCTTTTCATCCCTTCTCCTATCCTCTTGTGTTCAACAGCATCCTGTCTTCTGTGTGTACTTTATTCTGTGAATAACTGAAGAAAACTGTAAAAACCCAAACACACTGATAATCTGCAGAGTAGATCTTGAGGACCAGTATTTTAAATATTTCCCTTCTATAAATCTCTGGTTGACAGGGTGAGATGAAAAATGAGACCAAGGCCAACTGCATCATAAAAGAATATAAAACGAAAGAGTCTGGCTAGAAGTGTAGATGAAACAACTCTTGTGATTTAAGATGTTACCTTCCCTGACTGTTTGTTGTCACTCTTCACATAAGAACTACTGCCCCAACCTTTAATCAACAACATATTATGGAAGTACTCATGTCCCAGTGAAGGCTGTGCACAAATCATGTTAACTCTGTTGATTCTGCACTCATGCAAATACAAAAACACTCACATAATCTATTAATACATCTCTGTTACGAGAATAATGATTAACAGCTAGTTATGGTGACATCTAAAATTGCAGATTGGCAATCTGTGCCTTAAGGCTCCTGTGATCTGTAGTACTTGCATAGCAGTAACTACTGAGTAATGTTCTTTTTGCATGCAGCAATCTACTTTGGAGCCTTATGGAAAATATAGCACCATATCAAAATTCAAAATTAAATTGCAGGAGTAATTTGCAAACAATGCTTGTATCCTCAGGATAAAATTTGTTTCTCAGTTTAGTATTGTTAGGACTCAGGGGATCTGAGATTTGTAAAGCAAGGACAAGTTTATTAATCATGTTCTTTCTCTGTAAACTTTCAATAACTATTATCTTTTCACAACTTGTCAGTTTGAATTTTATTCTTGAACCTAGTGAAATGGTTAATTTTGTTCTGTTGTGTTCTAACCTAAAGTCTGAAGATAAAGCAACTTTGTGAAACTTCACTCTTTATATTGTATATTTAAATCTCATCAGTTCTCTGTGATCAATGGGCTGCTTTGGAGAGTGCTACTACTTTGAGTCATCATTGGTTATTGAGGAAGAATGACATTCTGTTAAATAAAATATGACCAAATGAAAATTAAAATACATATATATTTTCGTGTTTGTACTTGGGAGTGTTTGTCTGGCTTCCTTGTGGTAAAACATATATGGAAGACATACTTTCACTGGATGAACTGCATTTTTTTTACCAAGGTATTGAAAGAAAAGTACTGAGTGGTATGTCAGCTTGAAAGTGTGTTAACAATGAATGTCACTATAAGACACGAAAAAATACAATGCAAACACGCTGCTGTTCTCAAGGTAAAAAATGGACAGTTTATTTTCTGACTCCAACATTTATAGATTGACAAAAGTGACAGTGGATTGGTGGGTGAAAGTGCCACCTCTCCAGTGACACTGGACAAACCAACAGTCCATCAAATTTCTCCTCCTCCATAAAAGAATGCAAAACAATAAGTTATTTACAGCAAGTGTGTGAGAAAGTTCGTTACAAGAATGTAAACATCAGAAGGCTTAGAAAATCTTAGAAAATCAGGGCAATATCTGAATGTCCCTTTCCACCCATCAGTAACTTTTAGAGAGTTAACATATTTCATATGTACAATGCCATTTTGAACTGTCACTTGGACAGGTGAAGAGCACTTAGAGATGCAACACAAAAAAAAAAACTTGTTTCCCCCTCCAAGATAATTCCTACTCTCCTGACTCTAAGCTTCATCTGTAGTATGTTCCCTAGCATAATCTTGTGTTCATTTACTTTTCTTTTGATGCCACATCAGGATGAAGTGGTATTAGCTCTTCAGAGATGTCCCTTTCTTCAGCAAAATGTTTCTGTTCTCAGGAGAGATTAACCATGGTAGGATAGAACAGGCTGTGTGACATTTGAGCACTGCGTGCTCAATGACCATATTTCATTCTAAATTTTTTTTTCCATGAGAGGCAAGGCCCAGTAAATTACAGTAATGTGTTTATGTGCTTCTTTAATGTCATTTTTGTAGTATGCCTTGCTTTAGACACAAGGACACATTCACTTTCTCTGTACACATTTTCTGTATCTTTTCTTTGGTTTGCACAGATTAAAAAAAATAGGCTGCAGTAGCTTCCTGTTTCACACATCATTTCAGTGGTGTATGCAGATGCATTACTTATACCAATGTGTTGAAAAAATGTTGATGATTTTTCATCTCTGTGGGAATACAGTCCTTCAGCTCCCAGGTGCTGCATGGTTCTACACAATATATAAGCTGTTGCTGCACAAGGGAGCATGTCATCATGAAATAACTGTACAAGCTACATACCAGTCTCTGCTCCCTTGGAAATCCCTCACTTGCATCCTGCTGACAGCAGAGTTGAAACCCCTATAATAGTGTGGCTTGCAATGCTAGTGTTCTGAGTTATAACCACTACCCATTTGTATGAAAGGCCAGGCTGCTTTTCCCTGCAAACAATGTGATCTCAGTGTGTCAGCTTTGGTTGTGTGTGGGTGTGTGCCCATGTCTGCTTCTCTCACCCCACCTCTCATGCTGGACCCCCTTCCCTAATGTTGTTTTTCTGTGGGAAGAAGACAGAGGCCTCAAAGCTGGCATCTCATGTTGCCATGTGACAGCGTGTTGTGACATGCTCAGGTTGCCTGGCTCTGATGTGCAGCTGGCTGGAGCATCCTGCAGTTCACCTGTGACTCCAGTACCTTCAGCTCCTACCAGGAGAGACCAGCCTGTGGGCTGGAGGATGGGGGAAAGAGTGCCAGACCTGCCTTTGTTCTCAGGGAACTGGGTGGCAATGGGGACCCACACTGAGGCTACACAGACATTTTAGACATGGAGTACCATAAAAGTAGGTAGGTAGGCAGAGGAATGCTTTTTGCTCCCTGTGGGCAGGAGTTCATACAAGAGCTCCAGTCGAAAGGAGAATGTCAGTGTAACTCCCATCACTGTAGTGGCATGGCCAGGAGGATGTGCAGGAGTGTGGGAGCTTTGTCTGTGGAGTTAATTAACCTGTCATGCTGCCACAGCTCTGGTGCAGCCCACAACAGTGCTGCAGTGATGGAGGGTAGAGGAGTGGATAGCGAAACTGGGAGCTGTGCTAAGCATTTCAATAGTACTGGCAGGGTTTACACACATCTCTGTCTGTTGAGCACAATATACACAAAGTAAGTGTTCACAAAGCCAAAAATTCTTTGTGTCAGTAGCAAATAAAGTATTTTGTTGCATTGCCTGCATGATTCTTGTCAGTGCTGTTTTCATTCCCATGAGCTGAGTAGTGGGGGAAAACAGCCCTGGCCTTCCAGACGTGTCCAGATGGCTGGCTAGTCAAAAGCCCTTCCAGTACCTGAACCCTGACCAACAGCATCCTTTCCCCTCTGGACAGATTACTGGGCTGTCAAGAAATCCTCTTCCCATCATCCATCAGCTTAACTGCTGAAACCCCTGGAGATTAGCAACTGAGAAAGTGCCTATGTAGCAAAAATATGTCACACTGGTCAAAATGGAGATAATATTATTTTTACACTATCATTCTCTTCTAATCAGATATACAACTTTGCAGCCTTCACCATTAAATTTACAGAAAAAATATTAATGAAAATAATTATTTAAATATAACTGTTTAAATTTTATCTCCAGCAGTGGTAGTGCTGCAGAAAACAGATAATCATATGGTTTGATAGCATTAATTTTCATTTCAGTCTCTGAAAATAGAGATGCTTTTTCAACAGACATGTTATTTCTTCCTCTTGGAGCAGTGAAGTAAAAATGAGACTGATTTTAACCTTATCCCAATCTGAGAATCCCCAAATAAAGTCTAACCCTGATGAAGAAGCAGTTGGGATACTGATCTTAGTGAGATTTTTTAAAAAATATTTTTATGCATAAACCAAAATTTATAAAATTTGAATGTTAAATATGAAGCATCAAATTAATTTATAAATAAACACAGTAATGGAAAATATTCAAAGCTTTACAGTTTTTTCTTTAATATATATACCCTTTTAGAGTTCAGATCAAGAGACCGCAAACCAAGAATATACCTGAAAAATATTTTCTGAAATCTGAAAGTGCTTAGACTAAAGTATGAGGTACAACTGTGCATTATACTATGACCTGGATTTTTTCTATTAAGGCTCTATATTATCATTATTAGATCCTTTTAATGCTCATATAGCAAAGACCTCAAGGAGAAACAAATTGTCTTGTTTACAGAAAAAAAAAATAGAAAGGAAACATGGACCTGGCACTTCACAACTTATCTTTTTTGATTTAATTTCTTGTTAATATGACTTTCTTTTCTTCTTTAAGAAAACTGTAGCCATGGATCTCAGTTCATGTGCTGCATTAATTTGATGCACCCCTGTGCAAGCAGGCTAAACCATAATAGTCTCCTAAGTTGTTTTAGTATCATTAAAAGCCTTTGACATATGGTGTCTTTTGAAAAAAAATTACAGACTAAAATTAATAATGAAATAATGATGCTGCTGCACTCAAGAGAGTGTTTGAAAAAATGCTTTCAAACTTACCTGTCATATACACAGTCTCTTAAAGAGACGTGGTTTGCTGTCACTTTACGGAGTGATGGTCTTCAACCTCCAGAATTAAAGACAAGGGAAAAAGAATATGTCTTCTAGTAATACAACTTTCTACATGAGCAGATAGTGATTGTACAAGAGGGAACAGTTTAAAACTAAAAGAGGAGAGATTCAGAGGGGAGATTTAGATGTAAGGAAGAAATTATTTACTCAGAGGGTGGCGAGGATGCTTCATCCCTGGAAATGTTCGAGGCCAGGTTGGATGGAGCTCTGAGCAACGTGGTCTAGTGGAAGGTGTCCTTGTCCATGTCAGAGGGATTGGAACTAATTGATCTTTAAGGTTCCTTCTGACCCAAACCATTTTGTGATTCTAGAATTCAGCCTACTGGTAATTTCTCACTATGATAAAACTGCCTCATTATAAGAATTTAGTAAGATACAGAGGCAACTGCAGTGCATTGTGGATTAATTAAAATTCAGTCATTAACTGAGATTGACCTGAAGTCCCAATTCCTGTGAGTAACATCCTCTGCCACTTGATGTTTGGTGGAAGATCTTGCAGAGGTTTTCAGAGAAGCTGGGAATGTGACCTGATATTGTTGCTTTTTCCTTTAAGTTCTCTCAAGTTCGTTGCCTTTAAATTTCTCTGCTAATGTCCTGAATTATGAAAGGAAGCAGATGGATCTACTAGAGAAGAATTTCTTTAATCTTCATTTATTGTTGTTTTCTTGACTTCCAATTTTATTGATGATGAGGGGATTTTTGTGTGAGAGTTATTATTTTTTTCTTTTTTCTTTTTTTTTTTTTTTGCTGTTTTTTGGGGGTTTTTTGTTTGTTTGGTTGGTTGGTTGGGTTTTTTTGAAGGGAAGGAGATAAGTCCTTTCTTCTCTTTCAAGGTAATTAATGAAATGAGGTTTTCACAATCCTGCAGGTACAAAAATTTATTTTTTACTGTTTATTCCCCCCAATTTATTATTCAAATATTTGCTGGTTTTAACAATTAAATATAAGAAACTTAAATATATATAATTATACCAATTTCCTGCCTAGTTTTCCTTTCCTTGAAGCCCCTTAACAGTGCAATATAAAGCCCAAGATGACAACCATTTACACCTCTGCAGAGGCAATAAAATGCAAATAACATGGTTTATCTTGAATGTTTTCTGCTGGAAAAAATTAATTTTATCCTGTCTCTATTCTCATACATGGGAAAAAAAAGGACTAATAAGATGACCACTGTTCAATTATTTATTTATTTAGATGTTAAAGCTCAGATAAGAATTTATCTACTACAAAAGGCTGTCAGGGAAAGTTGTGTATTGGTTGGGCACCCCCTAATGAAAAGGCACTTGCCTGCTGCCTTTTACTGCTGCTTGTTTGCAGAGTGATATCTGTGGGTTTCAGACTGCAGAAGTAAGTTTGTGTTTGGCTGAAGTCATTAAAAAATGAGGGACCATAGAGACCAGTTACAGCAGAGCTCCTTGGTTTGCATTTCAGATATGGAAACCTCTTCTTTATAAGTGGTACTTTATATGGGTTTTAGTTTCCAAGGGATTTTTGTCGCACAGCTTCACTGAACAGAACTG